CTAAAGATAATCCCTGGGTTTATTTCCCTCTTGCAATGTACCATGGTGATTTTTTAGTTACTCTCAACTCCACCTTCATACAACAGAATACAACTTTATTTTGTATGGTCTCTTTTATTATATGTCAAAATGCTATACAAAATACAGTATGTATCTCAGACTGTTCTATACTGCTGTAAGTATAACAAAGTGTTGTACATAAAACAGTAAATCTTTCAGTCACAAAGTTAATAACAGAAAAAGAATACATCTGGCTACAGAAGAGATTTGAAAAAGGATGAGCCAAGAACAGTGTGTTGTTATCCCTTGTGTGAGTCCTTCAGTCTGTTGCTAGTTCTAGTAATGTTGTTCATGACCTAACCAATTTGAATGATTTCTGAATGTAGGACTCGTTAAATGCTTTAGTAAAGTCCAAATGTTATATTTACAATGTTTCTTTTTATCCACTGATTGTACAGTTAAAAATAAATAGCCCCTGCCCCGGTTTGTCTGACAAGGTTTATTTGTATTTGGTGCATGTAACTGATGATATCATTATCTTTTTGGCATTTAATTATTTCTGTAACTTTCTACTATCCTTTTATTAAAGTTAGAAGATAAACCTAATGAATACACATGTTTATAATGTGCCAACCTCTATCCTACATGAGTTCTTAGGGTACTTGAAAGGGGTGCTGGTTTTCAGAACTGGAAAAGAGATCACACTTAATCATACTCCCCTTTTTGGTTGATGTTTTCTTGCATACAACACACCCTGAATAAGGCAGAATGAAGACATAAGGAACAAAAATCTTTTCGGAAGTAACTGAGGAGCAGTAGTTCAGCTTGCTAATTGTTCTGCTCCCCATGGAGCCAGTGCAGAGTTATTTTCACTTTCACTCAGTAGAGGTTCAAGCAGCAGAAACTACTGTTACTGTATTTTCTCACTTAGAATGTGCACCCTAATTTCAAGGAGGTTTTTTCTTTTTCAGAGAAAGGTGTATGTTGTATACAAGAAAATATGGTATTTTCAAGCTCTGTCTTTACTGATTATAGATATGCCTCCAGAGCCAAAAAGGAAAGAAAGGGTTAGGACGTGCTTATAAACCAACCCATCTTTACTGATCCATTTACTTGGTTAGCTCCCCCCAGTATCCCAGCCAGGGTAGCTGTGAGGGGCCTGTGAAGTGGGGGGCTTCCCTTCTCCCACCCCCCACCCAAGCCTCTTAACAGGGTCAGCACACAGCTGCAGGCTTGGCTTTGTTGTGGCCAGAGCTGCGGGGGAGGCAAGGCTGGGGAGGCTGCTGGAATGCCCTCACCTGCTGTCCAGGACTGGTGCAGGCAGGCTCGTGCCCTCCCCGCCGCACCCAACAGGTGAATGCCTGTTTGGTTCAGTGGTGCTCTGACTCATGGCACTTTACAAAAAGCTCTAAAAGTTAGAGTGCCTCTCCACCAGGCTGCCTAAACATCTGTAGGCACCTGTAGAGTGCCACAAACCTTAAGTAGTTTAGTCCCAAACAGTTCTGCTGACAGAGGCAAGTATTTTATCTGTTTTAAAGGTGGGCAAATGGAGGTATAATGAATTTCTGGCCTAAATTTCTAGAAATAATCCATTAGGTTTAGATGACTACCATGAGAAAGTTTGAGCCTGTATTTCTGAGGCACTGAGAATACACAACTTGAAACAAAATCAGAGAGACGGACCTTCAAAAATCTGACCCATAGTATCTTATATTAGTACCAAAACAATGAGGAACTAAAAGTCTAATACCTTCCCCTATAATTATTTTTCTGCTGGAGTTCATAAATTTTCCTTGTATTTTATATTTCCTTATGTTTGCATCTGGTTCTGTTGTATTCACGTTTTTGGATTGTTCTTCTGTATGTGTGGTTATTTTTATCAAAAAAGAATTCCCTCTTTATTTTCCCATCTCATTAGCTCTGGCAGTCTTGGTTATTATAGACTTTAATTTTACTGATTTTTTTGTTGGTTTGTTTACATATTTGAATGAAAATTACAAAGAATCAACTGTTCTCAAGAAGCAAATGTCATGAAAAGCTGTTCACAATCAAACTGAACTAAGTTCTTTCAAATGCTTCTATTTACTGTCAGTATAACAAGGTACTTTCTGGTGCATGATCTGTCATGGAGTGCAGACAGAGAGAAAAAAGCTTCCACTCCTGAAAGTCCCCTCACTGCAAGCAAATCTTTTCTAATCAGGCTAAGGGCTAGTTGTCCCTGAAGTTTGCAAGATGAGTTGGCAGACCTTGCTAGTATGCCTCCTGTACCCTTTATCAGTTTAGGACATGTATAGTTGCTCAGTTCAGAGAGCTCACATATAAACCTCCACAAAGAGAGTGGGTGGCCTAAAGAGGAACTGAAGCCATGGCTGTTCCTTTAGCAAAACTCAAAGGAAGCTAGACAGCTTCAGCTGAGGGAGTTAACTGAAACATCTGCATACCCATGTATAAGGATTTACCCTTCAGTAATTAATTCTATTCAGGGATACCATTCTGACATGAAGTTAATGCAGTTACCAGAAGAAATGCCTGGTGTAAGTAAAGCCTAGCTCCTTTGGTTACCCAAAAAAGTGATTTTAAAACCACAAAGTCAATATTGTAAAAGTGCTTTCCCTTCAGTGCCAAAGTCACAGGCATGCCAGTTCCATGACATGCCATATGCACTTGTGGATGGTTATCAGTGGAACATCTCTGGGCTCAGTTTCAGTGTAAATCCTATTTATTTTTGGTGACTTTTGAACCATGCCTGCTAAGTTAATGATTATGCTGCAGTACCTCTTGGCACAGTGAGGCACTGGTGAGAGTTTAAGTTGTTAACAATGCTGTGTTTTAGATTTTTCTGAGAAAATGTTCCGAATCCTGGCAATCCTCACCCTGAAGGCACAACTCCACCTCATGACAGGTAAGACATCCTTTTTTTCAACTGTCATCAGTACAAGGCATAAGAATTCTGCTACAGCCTGCAATAGGCATTTCAGAGTCTTCAGCCAATATTTTCACAAGTGACTAGTAATTTGGGGAAGCCTTGGTTGTGTAGCATAGATGCTTTATGGAGGCCTACTATAGGTACTTCACGGAGGCCCAATTTTCAAAGGATGAGTGCTCAGCACTCTCTGAAAATGAGATTTCTCATGTTGTGCATCCATAAATCGAGACATCTATAGTTACTAGGGATTTTAAAAATCTTGGGTAGTTTCCTCCAAATGGAAGCTGTTGATTTTTCCACATGCAAGAAATATGGACTTTCTGGTAATATTTTTTATTGAACCAACTGCATAATTGGGAGAGAACGTAGAAAAGTTTGGGAGCACAATGCACTCTTCTTCAGATCCCATAAACAGCCATGTTATTAACCTACTCCTTCATGCTTCACTTTGCTTTTTACATCTCTTCTTATTGACCCATCTTCCATCAACGTGGCAGGTGAATTCTTAAATCATCTGATCCTCCTTATCAGAAATTTGTCAGGAGAACAAGTCAACAAACGGATATTTTTGTTCAGAACTGCTGATTCATCTAATTCAGGGATGGGCAAAATGTGGTCCATGGGTTGGATGCAGTCCACCAGGCCATTCTATTTGGCCCGCGGGGCCCCTAAAAATTTAGAAAGTTAGTATTTATCTGCCCCAGCTGCCTGTCATGCAGCCCTCGATGCCTTGCCAAAACTCAGTAAGCAGCCATAATTACCTGCCCCTGAATTTTGAAATGCTTTGTGAACACATGTTGGATTTTACAAATTTCCAGTGACACAGAGAGGAAATAAGTGTTAGTCTGAGGTTAGGCAGAAGGCAGGGTAAGACGGCACCTTAGGAACTAATACACTCAGATACATAGGCAGGGTTCCTCCAGAAATCCATCTAATTTCCTGACAATTCACTAGGTAGATTTCTGGAGACCCCAATATTTGCATGGGCTGTGGCCCTGGGTCTGCTGTACATGTTGCTGCAGAGCTGGAAGCCAAGCCACAACTAGAGTCAGTGTTTTTAGTACCTTTAGGCTTCTGGCTGCTCAGAGGCCCACAGCTTCCTAGTTCCTTCCCAGCCTTCTAGCTTAGGTCTTCAGGCTCTATTTCATATTGAACCTTTCTAACCAGTTATTTTTTTTGTATTATATATTTGTGCTTCCTCTGTTAAGACTAAAAGAACCCTACATTTCAGCTTGAAACTGAATTGAATATTTTTCATAATTTTCCATGGAACAGAAATTGTGACTTTCAACCAGCTCTACTAGTCAGGTTTCCGGAAACCCAATAAGCCATTCATGAACATTCAGTGCAACTACAGTATATGACTTTAATTAGATAAAAGTGAAACTAACCAGCAAGTAACAACAAAGGCCTCAAGGGACTGCAGCTGGAGGCTCTTCGTTGCAGCTACATCTAGTCCAGTCCTATTCTTAAACTGTTCATAATTATTAAATATTTGGCTTGATGTAGCACCCAAAGGCCCCAATCAGGATCAAGGTCCAAAGGCCCCATATGTCAGTGCTGTATAAATGTATTAGAAGACACCGTTAGGGATGAAAGACAAAGGTTAGGGAAGAGATACGTTCTAGCTTAGTTGTCTCTCCCTTGGTAACAGTAGTTTGGCCCTCTAGGGAACATATCAAGTATTCAGAGCCTTATTCAGATGGTGTAAAGCCAGCTGAACTGCCTTTTTCAGACAGATCTCTTATGTAAGTATGTGATTTTCTGTCACTGT